AAATCAAAAATCGGTAATATCTCAAAATTTTACTAAGAAAACCATATGTAGGTATCTTAAGTAAAATTGCTCAGCGTCTAATTTTCTAACCCTAACCTTAATATATATATGGCACTAAATAAACATTATACCGGGTATCATACCTTCCGGGTACGAGTATTAAATTTCTATAATGATTATATGTATATAAATATAAGTTTTTTTTTTTGCACTTTTATCGGATTCTTACTACGTAATAAGTGTTTAAAAAACGTTCGTAAAATAATGCATCTACACATTGAAATAAAATTTTTCTTTAAGGTTCATGCCTCAAAAAAATTAACAAAAAAACGTATTGCTAAGCCACAATGCATTATTTTCGACCAAATTACCAAATTTTGTGTAGCTTAATAATAACCCCATAATTTTAAAATAGAGGACCAATCAAAACAATTTCCGTAACATAAAATTGTTGCCTTCTTTTTTTTTTTTTTTCTTCTTAGTAATATAAATAATTTACGTTCTTCAATAATCTAAAACTAATTTCACCTTTCTTTTTTAATCAAAATTACCACCATAACGGCTAACATTCTGGCGAAGATGGCTACGGACGATGGTTGTAAAAGTCTTTATGTTGGTAATCTCGATCCGAGGGTAACGGACAGCATGCTTCATGAGATCTTTGGAGTAGCAGGATCCGTGAACAATACGAAAATCATTCCTGATAAAAATGTGAGTTGACCTTAAGATCAGGACAAGCCAATAACGATTGTGAGGGTTTAGGGGTTAGGTTGAAGCTTGGACTTGTCACCTTCAGTGGTGTGATGATTTGCAGTATTACTTTTTTCTTGAAACGAGGCACTGTTTGACGAGGTCTAATGTGGAGTCACCCCGCAATGGCTGGCCTTGCTGGACACTCGAGTTGCGTTCCATACATATATGACGCAGCTCAAAGGTTGGAATCCTTTATCTTCCCTCAATATTTTATATTTTGTTTATTTATTTACTTCTCCTTGTGATTTTATGGGCTATTTTTCTTTTATAAAGTTTATTTTATTTTATTTTATTTATTATTTTATTTTATTTTTTGTGGCGGTTTTTTTTTCAATTTATTTTATTTTTATATATTTTTTATTTTATTTTATTTATTATTATTATTTTTTTTTTATTTTTATTTTTTTTTTTATTTTTATTTTTATTTTTTTTTTTTAATCTTTTGCAAAAATTGCCTAACTTTGTTGATCAACCAGTTATATATAACTTTTTTGCAGCTAGTGTTTTTGTGTGGGGCGACAGTGTATTGTCAAGACAAAAGTTACCGAGTTGGCTCGTAGGCTGATCTCTTAAACCTTTAGATATATGGATGCCTTGTGTATTTTTCTGTCTACCAATGAATCTGATCACTTATGGAAATCTCTATTTTTTTTTTTGATAATAAATTAACTATATTAACGCTAGTACCAACATGGTGGACTGAATTACGGCTTTGTGGAATTCAACGACCATCGTTCAGCCGAACAAGCTCTTCAAACACTTAACGGAAGAAAAATATACAACATGGTAATTGATCCACCTGTAATATGATTAAATCTTAAGTACTATTCCTCATGCTTTATTATTGAACGCTTTGTTTTTGCTAATCTGAACAGGAAATTAAAGTGAATTGGGCTTTTCAGGGACAACAAGGTCATAAAGAGGATACATCAAGTACGAATTTCTATTCAATTTCCAACTAGATCATATCAAACTTATAAGTATCACTGCATTTATTACCCTTGGCTTCGTTAATTCTAGATCATTACCATATCTTTGTTGGAGACTTAAGTCCTGAAGTTAATGATGAAGTACTTGCTAAAGCATTTAGTGCGTTTGGAAGCATGTCGTAAGTTTTCATATCAAGCAGGTCACTCAACTGTGATATAAAATTTAACGATTTGAAAATATATCACACAATAGAGATGCTCGTGTTATGTGGGATGTTAATTCTGGAAAATCTCGAGGATACGGATTCGTTGCTTTCCGTGATAAGACGGTAGGTTTTGATATGTTTATGATATCATAACATTGAAATATACACAATATTTTTGGTTTTGATCTGTTAACTATTCAATATGCTGTCTATCATTGTAATGATCATTTAGGATGCGGAACAAGCCATCGCAACAATGAATGGTGAGTGTTGGAAGACGCAACGTTGATCAAGCATGATTCGCAGTTAAAGGTGAAGTGTAAATTTTTTTACAAATAACTTTGTATAGGGGAATGGCTTGGAAGTCGTGCTATCCGGTGCAATTGGGCCAATCAAAAAGGACAACCGGGTCCTGGAAGCACATCAGATCGACAAGGTAGAAGGGGTAAATTTCGCTCAAATTTTGTGCTATAATATTTGCTAACATTTCAGAATTACAATTTTAGGAAGCTCCACACAAACGCCTCAATTATCCTACGAAATCGTTGTTGCACAAACACCACACTATAATAGTACAGTATATGTTGGCAATTTGCCACCTTATACTACACGTATGTTTTCAATTTTGTATTAAAGGTTTCTAATAGAAGTTTCAATCGTATTAATTGAATCGTATTGATATATTTATCACCCATCAGAGGAGCATTTGTTACCATATTTCCAGCCTTTCGGATATATCATCGAAGTTCGCATGCAAGCGGATCGTGGTTTTGCTTTTGTGAAGTAAGTTTAAAGGAATGTTTTTGTTTCATTCGATGTATTGATCTTCTTTCCGCTTATAGACTAGACTCTCACGAGAATGCTGCGAATGCAATCGTAAATTTGCAAAATACGAGTATCAATGGGCGAATTATTAAAGTACCTTTTTATTTACGAATTTAAGTGAATAGGTGTTTATGATAAGATTTATTAACAATATTTTCATCAACGTTCAGTGCTCATGGGGAAAAGATAGGGCACCAGAGCAAGCCACGGCTTCTTACCATACATATGGTGTACCAAGTACGGCTTACAACTATCCATACGGATATTATAGTAATCATACTGCACATCCTTATGCCACACCCGTAAGTGAAAGTGGATATGATCTTCCACCTGGCATGTCTGCGCCACCGCCATCTTTAGCATCTCTTGATGGTGCTGCTGCTGCTGCGGTAGTCGCAGGTCAACAACAACATCCTACTGCTAATTGGGAGCAATATTCTTATAACGGATATGACGCGTATGGTCAATACTTTCCGTACGGCTACAACCAACCCACTGGTGCAGGTGCTCCTGGCGCTCCGGGGATGGGAACCCCGACTAGTTCACACACAGTTACTGGAAGTCATCCGCCTTCAGTTGGTAGTCATGGTCCTTCTGGTGGAAGTACATATTCTGGCTAACATACAATAGGGCTGCGATCCAAGCCTTTTTTGAATTATGACATTATTACATAGTTTGGGTTTGGAAATCGGAAACAAAATCTAAATAGATATCCATTCTCAATCAATAACCAATCAAATTTGTTAAATCAATGCTATAAATTATTAAAACTTCGTTATTTTTATTTTCAAATTAAGGATTTAGCGACTAAGCGGACATATTGAATAAAGTGATATGTTATAGTAGGTCTAATGGTTTATTGAATACGTGCACCATAAGTGAAAAATAATAATAAGAAATGAAAGGTTTAACATCCAAAATAAACTTCGAATCGTAAATTATAAACCTTTCGACCAAGTATTTTCGAAATTCGGATAAGTGTCTAATAGTTTTTAAAAAAAAGTAAAACCTTTAGTAAAAATTGAATTAAACCAGAATTAAATATAAAAAAATTAATATAAAAT